ACTTACCTTGTGTTGGTAAGTTTGTTTTGCCGGTTTGTGGTTGGTCGTCGCTAGTGGCGGCTCGTTGGTAGCCGTCGGTGGTTTTTGAGGGGGTCTGAGTCTGGGGCTTCAGTGGTGCCCTGCTCTCTCTCTCTGGTTTTCCCGTTATCTCTGGGGTTGGGAGACGGGCTGCGCCGGTGGTGATGGATAAGTGCTCTGGTCGTCGATCAATTTCGGGTTGCCGGTCGGAGGGGGTTGTGTGAATCTGGGGCTGACTTCCGTTGATTGGTTCGTGGGTGACTACCTGGGAGAATTTTCGTGGTTGGCGTGTCAGATCTTGTTAGGCGTTTTCTGCAGTTTCAGGTCTTGATGCTTTGGCTCGGTCTGCTATCCTTTTGGGTGAGAGCTCTTGGGGGTGGAGGCGGGGTTGTCGTGGAGCTTGTTGTTTTGTTGCGGAGGAGGGCTCTTGTTTGTATTTTGTTTTTTGTTGTTACTGTTTGTCTGTTTGTTTTTTTGTCTTAGGGGTCTGTTGTGTGCTTTGTTTGTCCCTGTGGTTGTTGTTTTGTTTGTTCAGCCCGAGTGAGAGCGGACATTATCCTGTTGGGATCAGTGATTTTCCATTATTGGAGTTGTTTCTATTTTGTTTGTGTGTCGTGTCATGTCGTGAGGTTGTTGGTCTAGCGTTGCTAGATTAGGCTCTAGGCAATATTTGGATCTATCCTCCCAGTTTTATTCAGCTTTTAGCTGTATCATTCAGCTATGAGCTAGTCTTTTTTTCGCATTTTGTGCGCTTTGTAAAATCTCTATCATTCCAAAAAAAAAAGGGGGTGCTTATTTACAAATTAATTTGCTCAAAATGAGTTTTTTTGGTTAATCAAAGTTATTTTTTTTTTTAGAAAAAAAGTGGTATGATTAGTTGTTAGTGAGATTTGGAGTTTATATTAAAATAATATTTAAAATGAAATTAATAAAGTTGATTTGATGTAGAAGTATGAGAGAAATGATGTAAAATGATATTTAAAATTATGTGAGTAGATGAATTGTGAATCAAAGTTGAGTAAGAATGGTCGGTTTATATTATTTAATTATATGAATAATAATAATGATAGTAGAATTGAGTAAAGTTGAGTTAATATTTTAATATGAATTTCATGGGAGTGAAATATCTATATCTATATAAATATAAAAAGGTTTGACATTTACCTGAAATAGAAGGAGAAATCCCGCAAAAAAAATTTAAACTTACTAACATTAGTAACTTTTTTTGAAAAAAATTCGGAAATCCCGCTCAAACATATTTTGAAAATTTTTGGTCAATAATTTAAATTCTAATATTTAAAGAAAGCAAATTTATTTTGGTATATCAAATCAAATCTTAAATGGACACAAAATTTTTGATATCTCAAATCAAAATTAAAATGGAATGTTTGATACAAAATAATTTAATTAAAGAATGTTTGATACAAAATAATCTTTTTATTTTTGTATATCAAATCAAATCTTTAATTAAAGAATGTTTGATACAAAATAATTTAATTAAAGAATGTTTGATACAAAATAATCTTTTTATTTTGGTAATCAAATCAAATCTTTAATTAAAGAATGTTAGATACAAAATAATTTAAATAAAGAAAGGATATGTATGATTTATTTGATATTCACATTTGTATATCTATATCTATATAAAAATATTTGTTTTTACTTGAAATAACAGCTAAAATTTTGCAAAAATAAAAAATAAAAAAATATATCAATTTTACCTTTATTAGTAACTTTTTTAAATTTTGTGAAAGTGGAAGAAATTATTTGAAATTCAAATTAGAAAAATCAATCTAATTAATGTACAAAATTATTTTAGTGAAATATTGTGGCTATTACCTTTATTAATTAATTGCATGGTTTAAATTTAGTATATAATATAAGCAATGTTTAATGTATTTGATACAGAAACTAAATACTAACTATAAGTAAATATAACTAAGTCATTCTAAGGAGGAATAAAATATATCTATAAATGAGTGTATCTTGAATTAATTATGGCATAGATAATAGTTTATGGATTCATTAATTTTATAGTTTAACATCAAGTATTTATTTGGTTTACTTATCATGATTTGGATGCAATATCTTTAACTTATAATACTATTAGTAAAAATTCAAAATACTATGCACTGAATATTATTTCTATGTAGGAAGTGAATTTTAAATTGCGTACTTCAATTAAAATGGATTAACTTAACAAATAAAGACGGACACAAATAAGGAGTGTCTGCCTGCATGTTTCTAATCTACAAAGTTTTGATTATTTTTAAAATAGTAATAGTTTTCTTAAAAAAAATTATTTATTATATTTAAAAATTAATTAATTAATTTATTGTATAAATTTGTAAAATTAATAAATTTGATTTTAGTAATAAAGTTGGTGATTTTATGGTCAAAGGTGGGCAAATTTATTATTATTAATGAATCTAATTTTGGTATAAAGTGGGCAATTTTATGGTATAAATGTGGTCGAATTTAATTAATCCCTATTTACTGGATATAATTTGAATTGTGTTTAGTATAATGTGCTGTTATAAATAGTTATTTTGATGGTGATTTTACTGGACTCGAAGTATGTGATGGCGATTTTAATTAAGTATAGTGGTGTGCCTACAAGGCAAAAAATGTTGTCTACAAAAACGTTTTTAGTAATATGTAATAATTTTTTTAGTATTATTTATTTAATTTTTTTAATCATGAATATAATAATAAAATTGAGTAAATGACCTTAAAATTGTCCACACATCCCCCATGGGATCAGTACTAATTTTGTAAACAAGGACCCTAGATAAACTAAATATGATGAAATGAAATGTCATTCCTACAACAATTCCAGTATAGCAAAAAATAAATAAATACAAGCACCATGAACTCCTTATAAAAAGCTGCTCATTGGCCAAAAAGCTTCTCAGTTGTCAATTTGAATTCTTGTGTTGCTCTCAAACCACCTCTTTCAATCTAAGAAAAAAGAAACATAAAAAAAAAAAAAGAGACCCAATTCCTTTTCTTTTCCTCCCTTCTATGCCCAGCTTCACAGTCACACATCAACACATAAACAAAAAACTAAAAAAAAAAATGGGTGATTTTGGGTTAGAATTGACACTCTTCCTCGTATGCCTGTCCCTTATCATCTTCTTAAACCTCTGCAATCGAAAAAGAAAAAAATACAGAAATCTCCCTCCGGGCAGTTGTGGCTGGCCTTTCCTCGGCGAGACCATTTCCTACTTAAAGCCTTATCCTGCCCACACCATCGGCCCATTTATGGAACAACACATCTCCAGGCAAAAATCATATTTCACATAATTCAATCAATCAATCAATTAAATTGGGTTTTGTATTTTTTGAACTAATAATGTAAAATTGCAATTTAATCCTCAGGTATGGAAAGATCTACAGGTCCCACTTATTCGGGGAGCCGGCAATTGTCTCGGCCGACGCCGACCTGAACCGATTCATCCTGCAAAACGAGGGCCGGTTGTTTGAGTGCAGCTATCCGAGGAGCATCGGGGGCATTTTGGGAAAATGGTCAATGCTCGTCCTCGTTGGCGATATGCACCGAGATATGAGGACTATCTCCCTCAATTTCCTCACAAATGCCAGCCTCAAAACCCGTCTCTTAGCCGAGGTTGAAAAGCACGCGCTCCTCGTCCTCTCCTCGTGGCCGCACAACTCTGTTGTCCGCGCACAGGACGAGGCCAAAAAGGTCACAAAAAATATTTATGTTTATTATTAAATAATAAAGATATTAATTTTGTTCTTTTTTAATTTTTTTTTTCTTTTGTCTAATTGTTTTTTATGTGCGCAGTTCACATTCAATTTAATGGCTGAGCATATAATGAGCCTTCAGCCAGGGAAGCCCGAGACAGAGAAGCTGAAGTTGGAATATATCACGTTTATGAAAGGCGTAATTTCTGCACCCTTGAATTTCCCGGGAACTGCTTACTGGAAGGCCTTACGGGTATCAATTAATTAATTAATTTTTTTTTTTTTAAAAAAAATATCCAATATTTATTATATTATTTTTATTTTTATTTTTGTGTTAAAAGTCTCGATCGACGATCCTTGGATTTATCGAGCGGAAAATGGAGGAGAGGATGTTGATGGAGAATAGAGGGAATGATCTGCTGGGTTGGGTGCTCAACAATTCAAATCTATGGAAAGAGCAAATAATGGACTTAGTTTTGAGCTTGTTGTTTGCTGGCCATGAAACCTCTTCAGTTGCTATAGCTCTCGCCATATATTTTCTGCAAGGCTGCCCCACTGCACTTCACCAATTGAGAGTATAAATTATTTTTAATATATATTATTTCCCATAATTCATTTATTTATGTATTTTAATTCTTTTGTTTTTTTATATTTTTTTTTTCTTTGGACTTGATTAAGGAAGAGCATTTGGGAATAAGCATGGCGAAAAGGGAAAGAGGGGAGACAGAGAGATTGAGCTGGGATGACTACAGAAAAATGGAGTTCACTCAATGTGTAAGCTTAATTATTATTATTATTATTATTATTATTATTATATTTTCTTTACGTACTATCCATTAATTGTTTAGGTAATAACAAAAGTAGTCCATGCCATGACATATATAAACAATTCAGGTCATAAGCGAGACTTTGAGGCTGGGGAACGTGGTTAGATTTCTACACAGAAAAGCCCTCAAAGATGTTAGGTATAAAGGTAAGACTAATATT